CTGTTGGGCGGTGCGTGTTGCTGAGCGGCCCGCTGTGTGTGCTTCTGCCTATGACTGTGCCGCAGTGTGCTGCCGGTTGGTGTGTCCATAGCATCACACCCCTCCCGGACTACGAGCTTGTCCTCAAGCTCGAATTCCGGATTCATGGCTTGGAACTCTGCGAATGGATCAAACGACTGCACACTATTTCTCAGTCCACCAACAATATGAACAACTGGGACTGCCCCGTAGCTCAGTGCATAAAGCTAGATTATTTGATGCAGACCCCAGCCACCTTCTTTAGTTTCCAGCTCCTAGGCGTAACCATGGCTTACAGTGACTACACGTGCGGCTGCACTCAAGCCAGCCGCAAGGACATTGAAGTGTTCCCCACCTCCTGGGTCATATAGTTTGAAGTAGTTTTGTGGAAGATCCACATAACAAAAATCGTGCACTGGGCCACGGCCCCGGTGTGCTATGTTGTGGATCACAGGAACGCCTTGGGTATACTTACAGAAGGGAACCTCAAGAGCAGCCTTACCGAAGAGAACCATGCGTTTTAAAACATCCTCTCGGCCTTCCCCATATATATTTTCCTCAATATTGCGAAACATAGGGCTCTTGCGCACTCCTGTTTCTTGGGCTTTTGTATAGTTACCATGTCGTGGTGCCACAACCATAACTCTATGTCCACGCCGAGCCAAAGCCTTCAGTAAAGTCCCAGCAACATCGCCCAACCCACCTGTCTTCAACAAAGGAGCGCATTCTGTAGGTACCAATATAATGTTCGTGACATTGTCCTCGGCCAAAGGAGGAGACTTTACAGTTTCATCCTCCGCGTGCTGATCCTTTGGGAATAACTGCGGCCGTAGGGGCAGCGATCTGTTGTTCGTTGGATGCCTCTGCCCAGTCCGGACGGCGACTGTTTGTGTTGGCGATTCCCACAGAACTCCTTTCCTTGTTGGAGAGGAATGCTTCCAGTAGGCGTCGCATCTCCCGGACATCTTCCCTGACTTCACAAACCTCCATGCTAGTTTCTGCTAGCCTATGTTCCAGTTCGTTGACCTTGAATGATAGCTGCTCCATATCGCCCGTGACGTTTGGCTTTGATACCAAATTGTTATGGGCCCGCGCGTAGGATCTCGTCATGGGTCGGTCCACCGGGAGAGACTCCTGTCTTCCCTTGCCCTTGCTCTTGTGTACAGACCCTATGGTGGCAATCGCGTGGGTGATTGGTCCAAGAGATCACCCGAACTCTCCTAATGGGTGATTTGTCCAAGAGATCACCCAAACTCTCCTCACTCTCTTTCTTGATTGCGAAAACTGAATGCTTTATTTCAATTCGTGGCTCCTTAAATAGGAGATTACAGAAGGAAATTCCTAATTAAACTCAAACTCCAACTTGAACTCAAACTCCTAATTACCTACTCCTAATGGTAACACACTCTTAAGATAAGATAAGGGATAAGGGATGGTAGTTGGCGGCGAGTTGGCGGGCAGAGCTGATGTGGTAGGATAAGTGTGGCCCCCACCTTGATGAGCCGTCATGTGGGCCCCGCCTTGGGCGGCGCGCGCGTCTCGCGGTGCTGCTGCCGTGCGGTGCATGCCACACGCTACCAAGCGGTGCGTGCTGCGTGCGGCCAGGCGGTGC